ATACTAGTTATGAGGGATGACCATAGTTCTGAGGGATGATCATAGTTCTGAGAGATGATCATAGTTCTGAGAGATGACCATAGTTCTGAGGGATGACCATAGTTATGAGGAATGATACTAGTTATGAGGAATGATACTAGTTATGAGGGATGATCATAGTTCTGAGGGATGACCATAGTTCTGAGGGATGATCATAGTCCTGAGGGATGACCATAGTTCTGAGGGATGATCATAGTTCTGAGGGATGACCATAGTTCTGAGGGATGATCATAGTTCTGAGAGATGATCATCGTTCTGAGAGATGATCATAGTTCTGAGGGATGACCATAGTTATGAGGAATGATACAGATGACCATAGTTCTGAGGGATGACCCATAGTTCTGAGGGATGACCATAGTTCTGAGGGATGACCATAGTTCTGAGGGATGATCATAGTTATGAGGAATTATACTAGTTATGAGGTATGAGTTATGATGGATGATACTAGTTAAGAGGGATAACCATAGTTCTGAGGGATGCTAATAGTTATGAGGGATGACCATAGTTCTGAGGGATGCTAATAGTTCTGAGGGATGACCATAGTTCTGAGGGATGATCATAGTTCTGAGGGATGATCATAGTTCTGAGAGATGATCATAGTTCTGAGAGATGACCATAGTTCTGAGGGATGACCATAGTTATGAGGAATGATACTAGTTATGAGGAATGATACTAGTTATGAGGGATGATACTAGTTATGAGGGATAACCATAGTTCTGAGGGATGCTAATAGTTATGAGGGATGATCATAGTTCTGAGAGATGATCATAGTTCTGAGAGATGATCATAGTTCTGAGGGATGACCATAGTTCTGAGGGATGACCATAGTTATGAGGGATGACCATAGTTATGAGGGATAATACTAGTTATGAGGGATGACCATAGTTCTGAGGGATGCTAATAGTTATGAGGAATGATGCTAGTTCTGAGGGATGACCATAGTTCTGAGGGATGATCATAGTCCTGAGGGATGACCATAGTTCTGAGGGATGATCATAGTTCTGAGAGATGATCATAGTTCTGAGAGATGACCATAGTTCTGAGGGATGACCATAGTTATGAGGAATGATACAACATATGAGGGATGAAAATAGTTATGAGGGATGACCATAGTTATGAGGTAAGAGTTATGAGGGATGATACTAGATGAGAGGGATAACCATAGTTCTGAGGGATGACCATAGTTATGAGGGATGATAGTAGATATGAGGGATAATACTAGTTATGAGGAATGACCATAGTTCTGAGAGATGACCATAGTTATGAGGGATGATACTAGATATGAGGGATAATACTAGTTATGAGGGATGACCATAGTTCTGAGAGATGATCATCGTTCTGAGAGATGATCATCGTTCTGAGAGATGATCATCGTTCTGAGAGATGATCATCGTTCTGAGAGATGATCATCGTTCTGAGAGATGATCATCGTTCTGAGAGATGATCATCGTTCTGAGAGATGATCATCGTTCTGAGAGATGATCATCGTTCTGAGAGATGATCATCGTTCTGAGAGATGATCATCGTTCTGAGAGATGATCATCGTTCTGAGAGATGATCATCGTTCTGAGAGATGATCATCGTTCTGAGAGATGATCATCGTTCTGAGAGATGATCATCGTTCTGAGAGATGATCATCGTTCTGAGAGATGATCATCGTTCTGAGAGATGATCATCGTTCTGAGAGATGATCATAGTTCTGAGAGATGACCATAGTTATGAGGAATGATACTAGTTATGAGGGATGATACTAGTTATGAGGGATTGTAACGTCCCACCTCAGGGTAGGTGTACCTATGGATCGCAACTGCGGAGGATGGATTGGGGTCAGTATGCAGATGAGTCTCTTATGCCTCTTGGTGGAGTAAGGCTGCGAGATTACCGCTTGACATCATACCCCGTGCGTTTGTTATAGAGATGCTGTTGGAATTTACTGAGGCAATGGCCTACAGCAGTAAGGTAAGGCAATGCAGTGTGGGGCTAATCACAATCAATGGTATTAGCAGAGTTCATGCAATGGACATGAAGGTAAAGCACAATCAATGGTATTAGCAGAGTTCATGCAATGGATCTGAAGGTAAGGCACAATTGATGGTATTAGCAGAGTGTTAGGTTCCTGGGGTCCTATGCAGGGAGCCCCGGGTACTTGCGTTTGGTATCAGAGTTCGTTGATCCCGGCAACTATGCTCCGTCAGAAGGTGGATGTGTCTCAGTGCTCCGTGGTCCGAGAAGGAGGTGAGGGGACACTGTGTTGATCAGCGTCCTGCCACAACTGATTAGTAAGACGCCGATCAATTAGTGAACCGCGGCTTTAAGCCGGCGGCTCGTGTGAAGGGAGGAGAAGCCCTGTGACGCGCCTGACCCTGCTGCTGTCCCTCCTAGACAGTGCAGCCCGAGATCTGCGGCGCGCCTGCGCAGAAGGACGTCGCACCCTACCGCCGGTCCTAGTGGCGGCACGGACGTGACAGGGATGATCATAGTTCTGAGAGATGATGATAGTTATGAGGGATGATACAACATATGAGGGATAATACTAGTTATGAGGGATGACCATAGTTCTGAGGGATGATCATAGTTCTGAGAGATGATCATAGTTCTGAGAGATGACCATAGTTCTGAGGGATGACCATAGTTATGAGGAATGATACTAGTTATGAGGAATGATACTAGTTATGAGGGATGATCATAGTTCTGAGGGATGACCATACTTCTGAGGGATGATCATAGTTCTGAGGGATGATCATAGTTCTGAATCTCTCCTGGCTGCCCCGTCTATGATCATCCCTCAAAACTAGTATCATCGCTCATAACTAGTATCATCCCTCATAACTAGTATAATTTCTCATAACTATGGTCATGGTCAGGGATGGATAAGGAGAAAAGGTAATTTCACAATCAGGAGTCATGTGACATTGGTGGTATGCAGATGTCCTGAAGGTGACTTTTTGGACTATAATGGTGAACTTCCTCTTTACGGCTCTTTTCTCTTCAGGTCGAATGTTCTTATTACAGTCATTTGCCGCCATTGTTACATCCACCCGCTGATACCGTCCAGAGTTCCCTAGAATTGTTACATTGAATCTCTTGTTACCGAGTTGTATTTCCTGTCATCCTCAGCGCCATCTGGTGGCCATAATATATTTTCACTACGGCCCATAACATTCAACCAGAAGAGAAATGTGCCTAAGAGCGTCTGGTTCTCACAGCAGCTGTTTAATATGCACAGAACGCATGGCGGTGGGAAAGGGCAGGGCTGTAGCTACCATGGGGTGAGTGAGGCACTCGCCTCAGGCGCAGCTGAGAGCGGGCGCAGCCAGGACTGGCCTGGCTGTGCCCCCTTGCCCCTGTTGCCATGGCAAGCACAGGACGTCATTGGCAACAGCAGAGCCAGGCGGCCAACACGGCCACGGCTCGGCAGGGAGAAGAGTAGCGGAACATGCTCCAGCTTCTCCTCAGATCCCCGCTGCTCTCCCCCACCTGTATGGGCAGAGGACTCTGTGTCCTCAATCTCTTTTTCTATTTCAAAAGGGAAACGTCACCGGTCTGTTTAGACCTCCAATATTTCCCCGAAGCCCCCAACAGTGAAAAAAAAAATAATAATAAAAAATAAATTAAAAAAAACACACACTACTACTAGACATGTGCAAAGACTAATAATTTGTTTCAGACGAAATGAACGGAAACTAAACTAATGTTTTCATTGGTTTCGTCAAACGAAACACATTTTTATGCTATTTTCCTGCTGGTGGCCGGGCGCATGACATCACATACTGCACACGTCTGTCGGGGGGCACAATTTTCTGTTCATACCGCCAGGGAGGTATAAAAACGAGTGTCGAACACGTGTTTCACTGAACTAAAAAACACGCCGAAAAACGCGCCTATAGTACGCCCAGGTGCTGACCTTGTGCAAAAGAGCGCGTGTTGACAGGTGTTCACACAACGCGCTCGCAGCACCGTTACTTTTTAATGGAACCTTAAACGCAGGGCTGGCCTTAGGGGTGTGCGAGCAGTGCGGCCGACACAGCTTGTCCTGGGGGCGGCTTCTCTCCCCCTCACCGCTGGGCGCTGGCCATCCGATATGACAGCGCTCCCTCGTCCGCCCCTCCCCCCTCCCCCCTTCAGGTGGGGGCCGCAGGGGGGAGCGCTGCCTGCTGCCCGGATGGAGAGCGGGGAGGAGATTAGAGCCGCTGTCATCCTGTCAGTTTCAGGATGGCAGCGGCTCTGTGCGTGGCAGAGCGGGGGATCGGTAAATATCAGTGATATTTACCGATCCTCCGTGTGAGAAGGACAAACACAGGAGCGATCGTCTGATCACTCCGGTGTTTGTAAATAACTGGGGACACATAGTACTATGTGTCCCCAGTTATGAATGAGCAGGCAGTGATTTACATCGCAGCCTGTTCATTCAGACCCCTGACATTTCCCTTTTACTATAAAAGCTTTTAAAGCGTCACCTATGGTCAATTTTGGGCATGGTAATTTTTTGCGATTTTGCGGGTGTGCGCAATTTTAAAGCATGACATGTTTGGTGTCTATTTACCCGACGTGACCCCGTCTTTTTATATTTTACCAAAAATATGGGTGATAAATGGGTGTGGTTACTGGGGGTGTGGCCACTGAGGGGTGTGGTCACTGAGGGGCGCTGTAAAGCTTTCTCGCACAGGGCGCCTAAAGGCCTAAGGCCGGCCCTGCCTAAACGTTGCAGTTAAAGGGAAGATAAGAGAAGATTGCGCAATCATATTGTGACATGGGTGGCCAGCTATGAAGCATGTCTGTGTGCAAAATCAGTTGTAAAAAAAATACATTATAAATGTTTTACATCAAATTTCGATCTAGACTTGTGCAGAGCTGGAAGTTAAGGGAGTAAACAGCAGGTGGCGCTGAAGACTAGGAACAGTTTTTTCCGCCAGTACAATGAAGCTGCCCAGTGACGTCACTTCCTTATTTTTTTGCCAATACTTCCTCAAGTTTGAAAGCATGGGTTGGTAACAGGGAAAAAGGTGCGGGGCTGCTGCTATGGAAGCAGAGAGGCCCCCCGGGGCCCAGGTGGGTGTCAGTTTTGGCAGGGCAGGGTGCTAATGATAACAGTGGCTGTATAATGAGGCTGTTTTGTGTTTCAGGTCAGTGGCTGGCTGCAAGCTGCACACAGGCATGCCCTGGACTTTCTGCAATATGAGGGGGGTGCAGAAGCCCCTGAACTCTGTAATGACGTCATCAGGTGCATTCAGACTTTCTGCCCCCAACTGCCACTCAGCTACAGGTACAAAGAAATGTGTTTTTTACATGGAGCAAGCCAATATGCTTCTCACAGCTTCCATCGCTGCCTTTTTCTATTAAGGCCTGGCTCCAGCCAAAACTTTTTATTAGAGCCTCTTGTTGTTTTTTTTACCCCCCATTGCTGTCTGTCTTGTGCTCTGGGGTGTGGCGGCTTGTGCTCTGGGGTGTGGCTGCCAGCACAGGATGCAGGACTGCATGATGCAACATGTCACCTTCACCATTATTCACACAGTTAGTTTATCAGCCCCTGCACCCATGTATGTGCACATATGAACACGGAAGCACACATGGGGTTCACGTCCATATATAAACAACAGTTGGACAGCGCATATTGGGTATTGCCGAGTACACCGGAGTGATGGCAATCATTGTAGGGGCCGTCAATCACAGTTCATTCTGAAGTGATGAGGGGGAAAGGCTTATAAGGCGTCACCTACGGAATTTGTTTTGTGGGCGGGCTCACATATTTAATGTCCGTTTATTGGACACAACCTTCTGTTCTATATTATACCAAAAATATAGATTGATAACCAGTAGCGCAAATGTCATGTGACATAAAAAGAAATGCAACTGTAACCGTTTTATTTTTCAGCTTTCATAAAATATTGTTTTGGGGGTTTTAAGTGCATTATTATGTACAAAATGTGCATTTCATCATCTGTGCGACAAAATGTTCCCGGCAGCGGAAAGGTTAAGCCGTACGCGTCACCTCTGTTTGTCTAACACCAGCAGGATACGGGGCTGGCTTCGTGAGCTGTAAAAGGTTAGACTGACTGGGAGGGGTGTAATAGGAGAGTTCGGAAAGTCCATCAGTCATAAAGCTGCTTTATAGACTTTCCAGATACCCGGCTAGCAGAGCCTATGGAAAGGGAATCTTCTGTCCATCTGGCTGCATATCAGCGGTGGAGCTCAGCCGGCTCGTTGGTCTAGGGGTATGATTCTCGCTTTGGGTGCGAGAGGTCCCGGGTTCAAATCCCGGACGAGCCCTGCTTTTGATGTCCTATCTTTTCACAGTCATTGCTTTTAAGAAACTATTTCTGGGATAAGTAGTTGGGTTGTCGCAGCTCATCCGCCTCTAAAAATACTAGTTGTCTGGCTCATCGTCTGTGTATGGTTTAACATTGTATATAGACCTGGGGTCATCCATATACGTTATTAAAAAGACAGCCTCCGTTTACTGATGACTACTCGTAATCCAGAGTGCACACCTTATAACAAGCCTGGAGCCAGAATGAAGACCCCCATAAGCGGTTCGGGAAATCACAATAATATCCTCCCAGGTCTTGGAATAGGGTGATCAGGGCAATCGGGGGTGCCGTACCTTTCCAAGAGCAATTTGCTAACCAGAAAAAGCAAAGCGCGCTTTCACTATGGATTCCTCACAGGCGGAGTGCATTTGGTATCGCTCCGCCTGTGACAGGAGTCGGCACTATAGAGGAAACATCGGCTTATGCGGCTCTGCTCCATGTATCACTTGCCCCTCCCTTTTAGATTGTAAGCCCCCAGGGGCAGGGCCCTCCTTACCATCTTGTCTTAAATTGTATTGCGACTGTAATGTCTTCCTTATATTGTAAAGCGCTGCGCAAACTATTGGCGCTATATAAATCCTGTATAATAATGTGATGCCGCCTCGCTTCCTCTAGCACTGGCTTCATTGGCACCGCTGATTCTCTCCCGCGGCTCTTCAGGTTCCACTTATGCCACCACCAGCCCTGGCAATGGTCACAACTAGGTCTTATTTTCGGGGTAGGTCTTATACTTTAGCAATTCCCAAAAATAGTACTAGGTCTTATTTTCGGGGAAACAGGGTATATATTGTATATAATTATTATACTTATTGTTTTAATACTGTAAAAGTGTCTGGCAATTACAGTAATAAACAGATGAACACTGACCTCTTCAGGCCGCAATGACATCCGAAGGCTCATTTTGTCAATAAAGCCTCCAGCAGCTGAAAGCTGTGTTCTTAAGACTGGGATCCATGGCTATTGGCCACCAAGACCCAAGCATGGCATCACGTGAGGGAGATCACATGATCCGCTATTTGCGGAAGTACCAGGTGTTTCTGAGAGCTCTGACCGATAAATGGCGCAGCGAGGGAGCGTGGCAAAGGTAACTATCATTGGCTGGAGGTGCCCTAACAAGAGCACCTGTCACTTTGCCCTCAATGTTCTGCCTTTAGATTCTGCACACTGGTAGAGAGCTCGGTTGTCTCTTATGCCATGCTATTGTATTTTGACTGGTTTCTGTTTCCTTTTATCTTTATAATTGTTTTTTATGACTGTGCATTTTTATTTATTGTGAGTTTAATTTTTTAGATACATTTTGTGTTTGTTTGTTTTTTATCTGCCCCCTTTGCGATTAGTGTTATCAGGTGGTTTTGTTTGGAGCTATAATATAACATAGCAGGCCAGTAACATGTGAAAATGACATCAAACATTCTTTCGGGTCACCTTTCCAATAACACCGGTGAATGTGAGTTTAGTGAACGGGCGGTTCAGTTTATTTTTAACTAGAAAAGCTGCCGAAGTAAAATTTGGGCTCGTCCGGGATTTGAACCCGGGACCTCTCGCACCCAAAGCGAGAATCATACCCCTAGACCAACGAGCCGGCTGCTCCTGCTTTGTCACATGAGAAGTACTTAGATAGGGATTTGTGTCCCATGTATGTATGTATGTATGTGGATCATGTGTCTGCTTGTTCCAACACTTACCAGAGTCCCGCGGGGTGCAAAGGGTTACCGTGTGGAATGTATTACACGTGTTCACGCCTGTTGCATACTTTCATTAGAATCCATGTAACAATCCTGCGTGAGCCCTGATCTATAATGACAGGCACCAGAGACGTGTTATTTTCCTGTGTCGTCTCAGAGCAGATATTTCACTGAAGGACGAGGACTTTAATGAGAATGCCAGCGGATGCCTTGGCCGTGTTCTCTCTACAATGTGTTGCACAAGCCATTATGAAGCTTTGCTCAGCCCTCACCTTGTTTAACTACTCAGCTGCCCTCAGTGCAACCCATTGGGTGCAAATAGCCCTTGGATTGTCCTTTTAGTTAGTATAGATGTTGAAGTCCTATGTGTCAGCTGTCACACTTTCTTTGCCCCCCCCAGCCTGCCTATTGAGACATTACCGAATGAATTAGAGAGAGAGTCTAAAAGGAAACGGCTTCTACTATTTGCTTCTGATTGCCCATAATGCTGTGTGAGGCTGGTGTCTTCGGTATATAATAATGACTAGGGATGCACCAATACCAAGTATATTGGCACTCGCCCAAGTGCTCCGATGCCTAGCCCGATACCCGAACTTCCAGTATCAGAAAGCAGGGCAGCAAATCATTATGTGCTGCCCGGCTTCCTGATTGGCCGAGAAGCCGGCTCCATGCTCCCTCATCACTTGGTGATGGAGGGAGCATGGAGTCGGCCAATCAGAAAGCCGGGCAGCGTGTAATGACTCGCTGCCCGGCTTCCTGATTGGTCGGGAAAACGGCCAAGGAGGAAGGTGGACGGCGAGTCATTACATGGCGGCCGGATTCCTGATTGGCCAGAAAGCCGGCTATATGCTTCCTCGTCATCTGGTGACGAGGGAGCATGGAGCTGGCTTCCAGGCCAAACAGGAAGCCGGGCGCCATGTAATGACTCGCTGCCTAGCTTCCTGATTGGTCGAGAAGCTGGCTAATCAGGATCCATTACCCGCTTCCTGATTGGCCAGAAAGCTGGCTTCATGCTTCCTCGTCGCCTGATGACGATGAAACATGGAGATGTCTTCCCTGCTAATCAGGAAGCATTACATGTCGCCTGGCTTCCTTAAAGGAGAACTATGAGGCGGGTGCTTTTCACTCACCTCATAGTTCTAGTCGACTTGTGACAATGAGACTGTCACAGGTCGGCTCAGTAGATCGGGAGGTGAGCGAACACATACCGGCGTTCGCTCACCTCTCGATCCTGTCACGGCTCTCTGCCATGACTAGCTGTCACTCACGCAGCTGGGCGGATCCCGGCACAATTGTCGGGAGCCGCTTCAGCTGCGGCGTCTCGGTATATGGAGCGCTGTAGCTCGCGGTATACTGAGCTTAGGGTGACGGGGGAACGCTAGTTTGTGTCCTCCCGTGACCCTAAGGAGAACTATGGGGAAAAACACTGACCCCATAGTTCTCCTTTAATGGGACTTCCGGTACTCGGCATTCAGTATCGGCGAGTACCAGAAAAAAAAATATTGGTACTTGATACTGAAAAGCCGGTATGGGTGCATCCCTAATAATTACATATCCATGTAAAAGGGATGAGCTCGATGTAACGCTGCGTTCCTGTGTTCAGCTTTGTGCACATGGGCACCACCATATTTGCCCCATGCATGGGCCCTGCTTTGTGTTGTTGCTTCTCACAATATATATGTCTCTGCAGGTCACTCCCCGTGTAACTGAAAGTGGAATTCTGGGCAGATCCCAAAAATGACCGGCGTGATGTTCTGTTTCTGTTGCAGTTTCACAAGCGTCTCGCAGCTCCTGTCGCTGCAGAAATCTCCGTGCGTGACCGCCCTGGGCTGGGACACCGAACGCTTTCAGCAATGGAGCCACGAGGGTCAGCAGCAGACCAAAGTCAGCCAACCTCCACCCGTCCTCTCCAGAGCTCGCCTCCTACTGGTGGGGTACCTATCGGACTGCCGGGCAAGAGACGGCCCAGTGCATGATGGGAACTTGTACATCAGGGACGCCAGCGGATGTGTACCGTGCGAGGTGAGTTGTGTAGAACGCTAGAATTAGAAAGCGTTTAGTTGTATCTGTTCAGTAAGTCCAACGCAAATCCCTGCTGATCAGTCATAGGTCCTGTCCCGGGCTGTCTCCGGGAATCTAATTGGCCCTTCTTCTTATCTCGGACTGCAGACTACTAGTGTCTAGATATCAATGTGCTTATACTATTGTAGAGTCCCCACCTCCGGAGACTGGACACCCCACAATTGACCCCCCTTCATTGCATGTGCATAGCTAGATATTAAAGAGAACCTGTCGTTTACACGTGCAGAGCAAAGCAACAGGTTTACTTTAGAGTGCAACTATGGCAGAATCTAAAATTACATATATCAGGGGTAGGCAACCTTGGCATTCCAAAGTGGTAAGCTACAAATCCCATCATGGTCCCTACAAATCCCATCACGGTCCCTGCCAATCGCATCACGGTCCCTACAAATCCCATCCCGGTCTCTTCCGCACAGTATTATATGAGTGGTGGTGTCTTCTCTCTGTTCCCGTTGCTGTATACAGATCAGAGCTGCAAGTTTATATTTCGGCATTTTCGTGTTTTTATCCCCCCAGATGTCCAACTTGGATTTGAGCCTCCTGGGGTCACTAGTCCTCTTTCCTTGCTGGTCTTACATCCCCACCCAACATGGAGGAGGCTATGTGGAGGTCCTTTCTCCGCCAATCTCAGTGACCAGCCCAGTGGTGAGACCGGAGTTGTTGGACGAGGCCCGGGCTACAGCTCTCACCCCAGACCAAGCATCAAAGCTTCTGTGTAGCAGGTCAATGGATATTTTACGTGTTGTTTATTCTGTTAATTCCATCTTATTCTGGCTGACTCGGCCTCCTTCTTTGATTGTGCCCTCTCCAGCCTCCTTCTTTGATTGTGCCCTCTCCAGCCTCCTTCTTTGATTGTGCCCTCTCCAGCCTCCTTCTTTGATTGTGCCCTCTCCAGCCTCCTTCTTTGATTCTGCCCTCTCCAGCCTCCTTCTTTGATTCTGCCCTCTCTAGTTTCCTTCTTTAATTCTTATCTACTTCTTACCTACCTAATCACCTATTGATTCTGCTCTGTTTATCTTTATCCCTGATTGTGGCCTCTAGCACCCTCCTTCCCTGTCTCTGGCCTCTAGCACCCTCCTTACCTGATTGTGGCCTCTCGCACCCTCCTTCCCCGATTGTGGCCTCTCGCACCCTCCTTCCCCGATTGTGGCCTCTCGCACCCTCCTTCCTTTATGGAGGTCCCGGGAACACGCAGAATAAATGATTGCTGTTGTATCATCCGGCCTCAAATTTCCATCATCTGATTGGATCTCCTTTCTCCTTCTTCCAGGTCCCACCCTCGAGGGTTCCGGGTGTCAGTGATTGGTCGGATGACATCGATCACTTCACTCATCAATATCCGGGACAAACCTTTCTTCTTTTTCTTTCTTCAAGACGCAACAAAGTCTGTTCCAGTGATAGTGAAGGTGAGTCTGTTGTATGAGGAACATCCATGGAATCCCGTCCTTCTTTATATGTCACCTGCAGGAGGAGGACAGACTCATAGCTCCCTTCTGTCTGTGTCACCCTGCAGGAGGAGGACAGACTCATACCTCCCTTCAGTCTATGTCACCCTGCAGGAGGAGGACAGACTCATAGCTCCCTTCAGTCTATGTCACCCTGCAGGAGGAGGACAGACTCATAGCTCTGTTTATGTCTTTTACAGGTGTCACAAAAGCTGTCTTGGTATCACGCTGTACACATCGGTAACACATGCATGGTGACATCATTGTCAGTATCTTCTCTTCGTGGCTCTGCCCAGCAGATTTTTGCCGTTACCCCCTCTTCTTGCCTTATCCTACATCCTGCACTTTCACCACCATGTTCCTCCAGCCTTACTAAAGAAAATTCACAAGAGCGGACAGCTCCCTCTGCTGGTGGGGAAGAGCAGCGCTTTAACCCGCAAGAAAAAATAAGGGAAAAGCAACAGAAGATGTCAAAGACCTTAACCTATGAGGTGGGTAAATCCAAATTTTAATATTCATTATTACGTCTTTTCTATTAATGTGATCTGTACAATCATATTCAACACGTCATATACATGAGAGCACGGCCTGTCCATTCACCAGAGACCAGTGACATCACCGACACTTCATATTAACAAGAGCACGGCCCGTCCATTCACTAGTGACCAGTGACATCACCGACACTTCATATACATGAGAACACAGCCCGTCCATTCACTAGAGACCAGTGACATCACCGACACTTCATATTCATGAGAACACTGCCCGTCCATTCACTAGAGACCAGTGATATCACCGACACTTCATATTCATGAGAACACATCCTATTGGCCGAGTAGAGATTGTTGATTTGTAGACTTCACATCATATGGATTTTGTCTTTGTCCTCAGGGTGTTGTGACCCGTGTCCGGGATGCCGGTGCCGGTCTGTATGAGTTGGATGCGGCGGTGGTTCTCTGCACGGCTTACACACAGCTGCCAAATGGAGGGAGAGGACTTCGAGAGGGGGCGAGAGTTGAGGTAATGAGAGGTTACCCTGCTGACGTGTGGGAGCGGGCTGACATCATATCACCTCGGGGTCGGATTAGTCGGTGTCTAGATGATGCTGGAGAGAGATTTGATATGTTTGTAGATGAATTTCCACATGTTATGTCTTCTCACTTTTGTATCAGAAGCATGTTTTCTGTTTCAGCTTTATATTCTGTCTCTGACCACACACAGATCCTCACTTCATTCTGTTACACGCAGTCCCTCATGCCTCTGTATTACATGCAAAGCCTTATACCTTTCTAATACACGCAGTGCCTCATGCCTCTGTATTACATGCAGAGCCTTGTACCTTCCTACTACACGCAGTCCCTCATGTCTCTGTATTACATGCAGAGCCTTGTACCTTCCTACTACACGCAGTCCCTCATGTCTCTGTATTACATGCAAAGCCTTATACCTTTCTAATACACGCAGTGCCTCATGCCTCTGTATTACATGCAAAGCCTTGTACTTTCCTAATACACGCAGTCCCTCATGTCTCTGTATTACATGCAAAGCCTTGTACCTTCCTACTACACGCAGTCCCTCATGTCTCTGTATTACATGCAAAGCCTTATACCCTTCTAATACACGCAGTCCCTCATGTCTCTGTATTACATGCAAAGCCTTGTACCTTCCTACTACACGAAGTCCCTCATGCCTCTGTATTACATGCAAAGCCTTGTACCTTCCTACTACACGCAGTCCCTCATGTCTCTGTATTACATGCAGAGCCTTGTACCTTCCTACTACACGCAGTCCCTCATGCCTCTGTATTACATGCAAAGCCTTGTACCTTCCTACTACACACAGTGCCTCATACCTCTGTATTACATGCAAAGCCTTGTACCTTCCTACTACACGCAGTCCCTCATGGCTCTGTATTAGATGCAGAACCCTGCATAAGGTACTGCGTGTATATCAGTGACCCCTCTTCACATCAAAAGCCCCCCTTTTATATTTGAGCCCCCCGTTCCCCTTCATATTAAAGTTCCCCTTTTACATTAGATTTCCCCTCCACATCAGAGTCCTACTATAAGAAACTGAGGCACCCCTGAGGAAGCCGGAAGGCACCCCAGTGTGCTGTGTTACCCTGGTTGCGAAAGACTGGTCTACAGAACGCCTTCCCCTCTCCTTATTTCCATATCATGGGGAAGGGGGGTTGTGTCACCGGCTGGGGGGGACCTCGCTTGCTCCATTCCTAATTTATGGAAGGGGGGAAGTGCGTGCGCTGGCACTAGTGTATGAATAATATTTACTTGTTCCCTCCCATCTGTGTCAGGTATGTGACGTTCACCTCCAGCAGTCCCCGAGCCCTCTCTTCCCTACCATCGTCCTCTCCACCTGTCTGAGAAGCAGAGTCCGAGTCTTTGAGTTCTCTCATCTAAGTGCTCCTTGTCCTGTGTATTCCACCTCCGGGAATCTCTACCTCCACCTCCTCTTCCACTACCGACTGACACTTCCAGAGTACCTCTGGGTGTGTGACGTCATGGGGAAGCTGCAGGACAAGTAAGTGGTGGGACTGCTGGGGGGGAGCCATGTCTATATGTATAGTGAGCCTGACCTGGGGGCACCTTGTGGTCTCTGCAGTTACCTCCTATCATTCTTCTAACTCATCCCTGTGGATCCCCTTGGACTGCCCAAGTCCAAATTAGTCCCAGCCCCCTCCTGACACTAAGCCCCGCCCTTATTATTTAGTTGGCAAATACCGTCTCTGGACTGTAACAGCTGACCTATAAGAGGCGGGGCTTAAGTTTTAGTTGGGCAGGAAATGAGACCTACTGTACAGACTGGGCCCAAAATCCAAGAAGGGCTCCATAGTGACCCCGGTAAAATATGAAGAATAACACTGGGAGTGGCACCCGTCCTTGGGGGTTGGGCTACAAAGTTTTTGCCGGCAATAGGTCATTTCTGGAACCAGTAACTTGTATTTGTAGATAAGACATGGTTCTTGGTGGAGCATGGAGCGGTTGGGCTCTCAGTCAAGAAGTTGCCGTCACCTGCAGCGAATAAATGGAGCCGCGAGCTTGTGTTTGTTTTTTCGGGAAGGACGACGCGGCCTTCGTGTTTGGAGCGATCCAGACCGCTCTTTGGCTGCCCAATACATGTTACATGTGGGGTTTGCCAAGCCATGGTTCCTGGGCTCACCTGTCTCCTGCGGGACCTCCAAAAAAGTGATCCAGGATGGTGAGTGGCAGGAAGTAGAATCTTCCTCAATCTCTAAAGCGTAGGGATGAGCTTGAACCGACCCAGGCTCATCTGAACCTGGAAGGAAGCTGTCCAGTCAGCTGCGGCCAGGGCATTCTGCACCCCACAGGCCATACCTGTGGCCATACAAGGTCATGGACCTTGTATGGCCACATGACATTGAACAAATAGGGCCATGTGACCTATAAAGCCAACGATGTCACCAGAATTCTGCCCAGTTGTTCAGGTGCAGATGTGGGTCGGGCTTTACCTTGGCCGCAGCTGATTGGGCCGCCGCTGACTACTTCCTTCCGGGTTCAGATGAGCTTGGGTTTGGTCCACAGCTGAGCTCATCCCTACTATAGGGTGTGAACCCGGAAGCACTGAGCTCTTCCAGGTTCATTCTATTCCAGGTATTATTTTACAGGATCTCTGTTTTTTATAAACAATTGGCCCGGCAGTGAAAGGGTTAAGAGGACTCCGCTTGCCACAAATCCTTTTTTTCGAACGCTCCCCGTTTCCCGGTGTTGGATGTCCGTCAGGACGGCCAATGAGACTGCAGAGCGTGACGCGGGCGCTGGGAGGGTGCCGGAGCTGACACCTGGCTGATGAACATTTGTGGATTGGAGAGACGATGGCGTCATGCTGGGGGGCATTTGCTATAAGCTCACCTTGATGGGGGGTGTACCCCAGAACTTATGCAGGAGCCCTAAAGGGGGGGTGTACCCCAGAACTTATGCAGGAGCCCTAAAGGGGGGGTGTACCCCATAACTTATGCAGGAGCCCTAAAGGGGGGGTGTACCCCAGAACTTATGCAGGAGCCCTAAAGGGGGGGAGTGCACCCCAGAACTTATGCAGGAGCCCTAAAGAGGGAGTGTACCCCAGAACTTATGCAGGAGCCATAAAGGGTATGAACCCTAATCATGAACTTCCCCAAATTTCTCCCTTTTGGTTTGTTTAGATATTTCATTTGAAGTGTTTTTGTTTTATCCGATCTGTTCCAAAAACACCAGTTGATCCTGCCAGAAACGCAGTGAGCTGATAACTTCCTGTGACCTCTGCCTGCGCTGACTATTATCACTTACATTGTTTGTCAGGTTTCTCCGAGGACTACAGAACCCCCTCCACTCTTCTATGGAGATGATTGAGAAAAGGAAGGTGTTTTGTTTTTGGTCCTGTCTTAGGGTGACAACAATTCTCCTCCGTAGATATACAGTACAGTGAGCGTTGTCACCCTAGGACAGGAAGTGGGTTAGCAGAGGGATTACCAGGTGAAATTAAAGGGAAAACTAATGCAGCCGCCATATCTAAGTGAGCAGCGATATGACATTTGTAACCTTGGCTTCAGATACACTTTAAATGTCTCTTTGCACTGCAGACTGCGGCCGCCACTTCTCCGGCCTCGCTGCCTCACCCGTCACACCGGCGGATCCTCCTCCCACAGCGTCATAGAGAAGCTGCTGGATTCCTCGCTGTCCTTGTCGGGTGGGAGACGTGAGAGGGACCTGTGTGAGGAGATGGTGGCCAGTCCACACAACTGCCCGCTCCAGGAGGTAAGACCACCTTGAAGGGAGGGCAAGAAGACCAGGGAATAGAGGAGCACAGATGTTGGGGGTTGTTGTTGCCGCACATAAATGGCTTCATTATCATATGCAACAAGTACCGATGTTTTATATTTGCATAACCCCTCCCAAAATTCAGCCCACTGCTATGAATGAGGTCGGTGCTGTGATGTTTTCAGGAAGCGATGTACAGCACCCTGCCAGCCCCCCCCCTGCATTGTATAGAGAAGCACAGAGACCCAGTTGCGTCTAATATAAAGCATGTCATTAGCATGTTGATGAGGGGGGAGGGAAGGGGATATGAGATTAAACATCGGCTTTAAGGTATTTACTAATGTCCCATTTTTTTGCCTCTCTTTTTCAGTACTCTCCCCTTCCCCCGCCGTGGTGTCTCCCGCCTCTCTCTGATTTCTCATCTCTAGCCTGCAAGTCTCAGTATCTGCGGAGGAGGGAGTCCAATCAGAGCCTTGGGTGGTGCCATTACTGTCTGCCATCAGAGGACCTCTCTCCTCCCCATGTGAGTACCCGTCCATTACAGGGGGTGTGACAACCTCTGCCGGGCCTTCATTCTTCCTCGGGGGATCATTGTCAATTGGAATGGAAAGTCTGACATTTTCAGTTGTCACGGGACAGGAGTAGAGGGGTCACCTGTGCCCACCACAGTTGTCAGAGGGGATTTCCCTCACGTTGGAGAGATTTCCTGTCACTTCCTGTTGTGTCTGGAGCCAAGAAAGTGGAGGAAGATCTCCCCAGTGGGACACAGACAGCAGAGAATAATCTTTCCTACTCTGCCCAATACTAACAAAGTAAAGTTCTGGCTTTAGGTGTCCTCCATGTGAAACCCCAGCGGCACCGGAATCCATATATAACGGAGCCGGGTTACATTGTGGCCGCCGGGTGTTCCTGTAATATACAAACCTCAGACAGCTGGGAAGATCCCGCAGAAGTTCTCTGATTTGCCGTTACGGTCTCCTGGGTGCTAAAATGATGAACCCGGAAGATGATTTGCTTAGTCAGGAAGTACAGGTGTCACCATTCCAGCTGTGCAATGTTTCCCTGCACGGAGATATTTCACTGCAATTCCTTTCTAGGAAGACTCCAGTTTACTGAGACTCATCCATTCAGTGTTAATGACCTCGATGTGTGTGTCTCTCTCTCACCTTCTCTCTCTCACCTTCTCTCTCTCACCTTCTCTCTCTCACCTTCTCTCTCTCTCCCAGCTCTCTCTCTCTCTCCCCTGCTCTCGCTCTCTCTCCCCTGCTCTCGCTCTCTCTCCCCTGCTCTCGCTCTCTCTCCCCTGCTCTCGCTCTCTCTCCCCTGCTCTCGCTCTCTCTCCCCTGCTCTCGCTCTCTCTCCCCTGCTCTCGCTCTCTCTCCCCTGCTCTCGCTCTCTCTCCCCTGCTCTCGCTCTCTCTCCCCTGCTCTCGCTCTCTCTCCCCTGCTCTCGCTCTCTCTCCCCTGCTCTCGCTCTCTCTCCCCTGCTCTCGCTCTCTCTCCCCTGCTCTCGCTCTCTCTCCCCTGCTCTCGCTCTCTCTCCCCTGCTCTCGCTCTCTCTCCCCTGCTCTCGCTCTCTCTCCCCTGCTCTCGCTCTCTCTCCCCTGCTCTCGCTCTCTCTCCCCTGCTCTCGCTCTCTCTCCCCTGCTCTCGCTCTCTCTCCCCTGCTCTCGCTCTCTCTCCCCTGCTCTCGCTCTCTCTCCCCTGCTCTCGCTCTCTCTCCCCTGCTCTCGCTCTCTCTCCCCTGCTCTCGCTCTCTCTCCCCTGCTCTCGCTCTCTCTCCCCTGCTCTCGCTCTCTCTCCCCTGCTCTCGCTCTCTCTCCCCTTCTCTCGCTCTCTCTCTCTCTCTTTCTCCCCTGCTCTCGCTCTCTCTCCCCTGCTCTCGCTCCCAGGTCCTCCTCGGTGTGCTGCATGCTTCCTCCTCAGGATTCCTCCAGTTAAAGGATCACTCCTCTTCCCTCACCTGCCTGATTCTGCCGATCGCTCCCATTGGTTGGATAGGTAAATACAGAAATCTAGTTCTTTCCTTACACAGTGATAACGGTCACATGATCATTTCCGTCATGTGGGTGTCTGCAGGGTAGACACGAGTGCAGAGTCTGTGGGGGTGGCGTGTTCTGCTCTTCATGTTTTGCTGCATTATTGATATAGAACTGAAGTCTCCAGTATGAGGGTCTGAACAAGTACTGATCCAGTTACTATGTGATGCGCTGGACTCACTTCTGTTATCGCCTCTGACTGAGCCAAATCATCGTTCATTTGTGTGTCACACGCTCCCCCTCTCAGACACTGCAGCTCACAGTGGGAGGGGTTCAGCAGCAGAGGCGGTGCTGTCAATCCAGAAAACAGTGGGCGGGGCTAGGCGTGGTCCGGTGCTGATTGCCTATCTACAGGCTTCTGAAATAAAGATCTTTATGGTAAAGCTTGGTGAATTGAGCCTTTACAGGTATCTCCAGGCCCCAATAAAAATCAGGTCTCAGACCAGTTGTGGGATCTGCCTCCTCCCTGCAACCAGGAACAAGCAAAAGTCCGTGCAGATGCTGCTATTTTCTGTGGCGCTGATGACCCTTATGGACACAACTAAATGGCCGTCCTTACATCATAACTCCAACCGTACATGTCTCCTTCTACTGATGCGTTTCACCTCAGCAAGGCCTTTATCATAGCGGTAATCTAAGCTCTGATTGCAGGTGAAACGCGTCAGTGGAAGAGTAATGATGCAACAACGGCTTCCTAGACTATTGTTTCTATCAGTCTCGGCCAGGTTTGCTCACCGCCAGACTTGTATCACGCAGGGCTGCTTCTTATTGCAGTCTGGCCCTCATCTCTTGTCTGTTCTCTGTGTCTCAGGGTGTGTCCTCGAAGTGCGTCAGTATCAGCTGGTGGTGGAAACTCTGCAATGCAAAGACACGGGCATAGAAGAGCGAAACAGGTAATGTTCCAGTGCCCAGTAGTAAGGCCGCTCCAACCTTAAAGCAGAACTTCAGCCATATTAACAAGCGAAATTCTATTGATCGATCAAAACAAAACCAACTTTTGCTGCTAACAAGCCCCTATGTAATAGAAAATATAATGTGGCAGGTCCTCTTTATGGAGACATCAGAGGTCTTACAGACCCCTAATGTCACCTAGGGACCCCAAAGAAGCTGATGAAGCAGAGATCAGCTTCTCCTGGCTCTAGGAGCCGGAGAATGTCAATAGTGACACCGGAAGTGATGCAATGCACGTCACTTCCGGGTCCCGTGATCGGAGGAGAGATCAGTGGCTGGAAGCTTGCTGATCTCCCTATCGCTGGCTGTTTTAAAATGGCAGCAGCAGCCGTGTTCTTGGTGTAACCACTTCCAGCGGATGACGTGTATTTACGTGACCCCACTGGAGGTGGTTAAAGACATCAGAAGGTCATATGACTCCAGAGAGTTGCTGATTGGACAGCCGTGTCCAAAATTCAGTCCTCAATGTCCTTTCAGCCAATATGGGAGCCCTGTCTGAAGCCGCCCGGCTACTTTTATTATAACGAGGGTCGGGGTGGTCGCTTTAATGATTCCACACCAGATTAATGACAGTGAGGGTCCTGCTGGGACAATCTGGGGAAGGTAGGAACACTCTCCCCTTCTGATAACCTTCATTAACATTTAATATCAGTGTCTGTATCTGGGTCGGTCATGACGCAGGAAGTAGGGATGGGGGCGTACGAGGATTATCCTCATTCATCTTATGTAATTGTCTCCTCATTGTGGCCTGTGCAGGGGAAGGTTTGATATCGAGCGGCAACAAGCGGGAGAAGTCAGCCTGCGGATAATCCTATCCAGCAAACGCTGCATCCGCGCTGAAAGGTCACCCGATTTACTGGAATAGATTTCAATTGTTTCTCTTCTAAGGTGACACATTATTCAACTACTTAGAGATTCTCCGATACCGTTCTTTCCAGACCGAGTACCAATACTTCGCCACAAGTACTCGCCGATACCAATTACCGATACCTTTTGTTTAGTGTCATGTGACAGTTTTTCTAAAACAATACAGACTAATGATTTGAGGATGGTGGTGGAGTGCCGGGGCCCGGTCCCAGCTGCAAATGCTGCGTGCCAGGTAGTCCTGCCAATGTCTTCAAGTTGTAGAGGGACTACAAATCCCAGCAATACATTGTACAGCAATGCAGAATAATACCATCCGCTATAGAGGACTACAAATCCCAGCAATACATTGTACAGCAATACAGAATAATACCATCAGCTATAGAGGACTACAAATCCCAGCAATACATTATACAGCAATGCAGAATAATACCATCAGCTATAGAGGACTACAAATCCCAGCAATACATTATACAGCAATGCAGAATAATACCATCAGCTATAGAGGACTACAAATCCCAGCAATACATTATACAGCAATGCAGAATAATACCATCAGCCATAGAGGACTACAAATCCCAGCAATACATTATACAGCAATGCAGAATAATACCATCCGCTAGAGAGGACTACAAATAGAACATTATTTTATATTCTGATTGGACCGTATCTTTAAAAACTTGCATATAACTGAATGAAGGCATATAGGTTACAGGCAGAACATCTGCGAAGGGTGAGCTTGGATGGTTGTAATCAAAGTGTAGGAATGGCTATTGCTGACTTTTTTGTTTGGAGTTGCTAGTCTCTTTGCTGCCATGCTCATCCTGAGGTTTCACTACTGTCACTGACCTGGAAGAAGCATGCAGCCAGTGAAATCAGAAGTCCAGTCTACTAGTAGATATTAAAAACAAAAGCATCTGCATGAGGTCTAGGGCACTGACTTTCTCTATTCAAAGGCATTTGTGGCTTTCATAGCTTTGTCATGACCGGTTTGCTTTAATGCCCAAGCCCCGCCCCTGGCACATAGTGTCCTTTGCTTTGCTCCAATCAGCTGCTGGGAGCAATGCAAATACGCAGCACCTATGAGTATGTGGGGGGCGTGGAGAGTGTAACCTCGGACAGCTCTAGCGCTTGTTGATTGGCCCGGTGCGGTTACATGGGGACAGGTTAAGGGCCTAACCACCAAATGAATGAGCACAATGGGGGACTATGTGCTGCTGGGGGGTCTGCAATTAAAGGGAACCTGTTGCTTTCCCCTCCATGGGCCAGTAACAGGTTCACTTTAATATCAGCCAACTCTGCCATTGCTGTCTCTGTCTTGTCCCTCAGGTCCTACGCCGTGTTCCTTGCTGAGGATGTCACCGTTCTTCACTCTCCGCAGACCTGTCCCTGGTGCTCAGTCGCCGGACCTTCTGGGCCGTCCCCTAGTAAGGTGCGGCGGGTGGAGACTTCCTGGGCGCGGCGCCTCCTGCTGATCCACAGCATGGAGGGTATGCTGACTTTGCCGGACCACAGGAAGGGGCTTCAGTTTCAGGTGAAGGCTTCATGGCGGGATATGAAAGAATCCTCCTGCAGGGGACAAGATGGAGGACAAAGTACCGAGGTACCAAAAGATGGAGACAAGGTACCAAGCAAGGTAAGGAACACACGGGATTGTACACAGGGGCTTCAGTGGAAGCTAAACGGCAGGAGAGATCAGATCACACAGTCACCAGAGTGACCCCGAGGAGGGTGACGCCACCTCCTTTTCTCTACTTCCCAGCCAGGAGGGGAAAATTCGGATTAGTCAATTATACATAAACTGCCAAAAAGCATGCTGCCATTCATTGGCCTTCTGACGAGAATCAGATACACTGTCATAAATGTTTATTTAAAAAAACAAGAATTAGTACAAAATATAATATATATCAAATTATAACATTATTATGGTCTCCTGGTAACAAACCATTCTAGTGCTCTTACCCTCCATCCAAAATATAGAGGTCACATACGTTGCAGTTCTATGTTACTAGGGCTGGTAATGATTACAATTTTCCTGTTCGATTAATCAAAATTTTTTTTTTTATTGATTCATTTCGATTAATTATAACGCACATACAGATCCAACTACATTGGCCTATACACATACAGCACAGCAATGAAGTAATAAAATGAACTAGGATCACACTAATCCAGCACGTTATTAATCTCACGTGCCCCACTCAATATGGCCGCCGCTTGAGTGGGGCAACTCGGAATAATAACGTGCTGGATTACAAATGTATTTACATAGTATAGTAAAACAGCAAAGCCCTAAGGGTGATTGAAACATAAGTATTAGCTTAATAATTGAAGTAGCAGCGCCCGTCCATTCCATGTAAGGACCTGATTGCAACATAATATCAGTACATTTCAATGGGCACATTTCTGGGAGCGAGATGGGGGAGGGGGCGGGGTTAATGGAGAGCCACATAGTGCATATATATAAGTTTAAGATAAGACAGAAGCTTGGTGCTTCTTGGGCAAACTCACCGGCCCAAGTGGCTCCGTCGGCTAACGAAGGGAAGGGGGAGGAGTCCGGTGACGTCAATGTCCGTGACGTCACCGGATCTCCGACGGGGCTCCCGGAAGCCGGCGGAGAGGTGAGTCTCATTGTCGATCAAAAGAATTTTAATCGATCAAAAAGTTTAACGATTAATCGAGGAATTAATCGTTAATTTCCCCCAGCCCTATTATTTTACCAATCTATGAATGTCCTCTTATTCCTCTGCAGGTGTCACTGCTCTTCACTTCCTCCTCAGTTCGGTGGTTTCCTTTACTGCAACCCAACAGACAATATCAGATTATTGCCAGCAAAGAAACGGTAATGTATCACCCTGCAGGAGGAGGACAGACTCCTAGCTCCCTTCTGTCTGTATCACCCTGCAGGAGGAGGACAGACTCATAGCCCCCTTCTATGTATCACCCTGCAGGAGGAGGACACACTCGTAGCTCCCTTCTGTCTGTATCACCCTGCAGGAGGAGGGCAGACTCATTGTTGGCTGTACTCTTTGTATTCTGCAGGATGCTGGAATATTTGATTCGTTGTCTGAGTGTGGTGCGGATATGCCGCGTGCTCCGCGGTGTCTGAAGGTCCCCAGTGATTGGATATTGGAGGATGTGGAGGTAGATTTTGGAAGATATAGTGATGGTGAGCGGTGTGTTTGCTATGTGCCATGTCGGTGATGTTTTCTTCTTGTGTTCTCAGAATTCTGACCATTCGTACAATGCTGAAAGCTTCTCCATAGAGGAGGCCGTGAAGAGCAGGTACTCCGGTCCAGTCTATTGTTTCCCGTCCAGAATGTATCAGTTGTGGTCGGATTTCTGTGTGTATTATCTCTGTGCATTCTGTACTTCAGCAACTTCCCCATCCACCTACCACAGCCATTATAAGGCAGGGGGGGCATTCTCACCAATGGACTCTAGTTTGCATTGTACATTATTGGGAGTGTGGAGCAATAGAAGCGAATGGCAGCTGCATTTTTTATGTTGCACAATTGTTTATCCATATTTTAGGAAACAATACATAAAATGAGTCTTGGTGCGCACACACACAATCTCATGCCACTTTTTGGGGGGAAAATATAAGAGACTTTGAGTAAAGCGATACCAAACATACCAAAGCCAATAGGATTGCTTTTCTTTTCTGTTATTTTATTTATTCTTTACTGTTTTTTATACTTCTTTTTTTTTTTTTTAACTTAACTTAACTTTATTGCTATCACAAGGGGCTAGAAATCCTCCTTTACAGGACAGTACCAGTGATCAGGCAACTCTACAGCTGCCCTGACCAATTGTGCTCTAAAGCCCTCCACCTGCCCTAAAAATGATACCAAGATCACGGCTGCAGCAGGCACCACTTCAGGATCAGAACATACATGTCCGTCCCATGGTCATGGCTAAATACGCAATAGCAGGCTGGAGTTTCTATACATTACATGAGCCGAATGTTGGTTTTTAGATGGATGGGTGTCGAAGGGTGGAGCGGAGTGAGAGCAGCGAACATTTGTTAATTGATCTCCCCTCCAGTGAGTGGCCCTGAAAGCGTCACTTCCGGGTTCAGAGCTGTCATTCTCCGGCTGCTGTGGCCAGGATAGAAGCTGATCAAACACAATATGTGCTTCAGTGGGGGTCCACAGGAGACATTAGGGGGTCTAATAGACCTCTGATGTCTCCTTAAAGAGGACCTGCCATATCTAATATGCTGATGGCCCCCTATGTGATGGCAATAAAATTTCAGTGACACTAAACTCTGAATTGGTGCTGACACTGTCCTTCCTTCTGGAGGGGGGCTACTTGTGTTCCCCATGGTCCCTGTGTGTGTTGTAAAGTAGTCACCGCTCCAAGCTCGCTCCTGTGATGGACTACAATCTCAATACAAATGAGCAAACTAACCATGAGATTGTAGTCCATCACAGGAGCGATGTTGGAGCGGTGACTACTTTACAACACACATAGGGAACATGGGGAACAAAAGTAGCCCCTCCAGAAGGAAGGACAGTGTCAGCGCCAATTCAGAGATGATTTGAGGCTCTACAGCCGAGTGACACACAAATAAGATACATTGTTGTTACTATTTAAGGTTCCTGAATGTATTTGTATGATTTAGCTTCTGGGTTTAATCTTTAAGTGTAAAAAAAAAAAAGAAAAGTTCACATAATCCGCGTGGTGCCTACAAGCATGCATGTTAGTCATCACATTGATCCCTCCATTGATCCATCAAACTGTTTTTTTTTGGGGGGGAAGAGGGGGTTGGCCCTTTTCAGCTTTTTTTTGGTGTAATTTAGGAATGTTAATGGAATGCGGCCCCAAATGTCTCCAGATGGTTAGAATCACGCTTCCCTACGTATTATTGCAGCTGAATTACTGAATGGGTGACAGGTCCACTTTAATGTCATGGGTTGCTACTTATAGGTTTCATGGTCCCTCTATGGACACTGCTCATGTTTTCTTCTTCCAGTTCCAGCGGTTCTCTGGTGTCTGTGAGCGGCGCGGTGTCCTCTCGTTCCATGTGCGGCACGCAAACAGTGCAGCGGCGCGCGCGTTCTCAAGGTAAGCGCGATACCCTTCCCGCCGCATCAGAATCGGTGTGTGGCGCTGACTCTCAGTCTTCTCTCCGCAGACAACTTCCTGCCACCCGGCGTCTCCATCAAGCTCATCCTGACTCAGCCCGTCAGCCAGTCATCAGTATCAGTCTATTTGGATCTGACGCTGGGCCCGTACCCTCTGGGGCTCCTCCCGGGGGCCACGGTGCTAATGCAGGGGCTGGAGAGGAAGGTGTCCAGGTATCTATAACACAAGTCTGCGAGCTGACAGGACGTTCTGGGACTTGGATTTCCTCTGCAGCTGGAGGAACATGTGTTACCCGTCCTCATTTCTGTACTTGGCACTCTGGGCCTCCTTCATTGGGTGGCTGGGCAGTGACCAGAGAAAAGTGAGGCCGGCAGCTGTTTGTGTATGTTTGTCTTCATGTCTATCTGGCTCTCACTGAACCTCTGAAGTCACATGGCTTGTTGGTCTAGGGGTATGATTCTCGCTTTGGGTGCGAGAGGTCCCGGGTTCAAATCCCGGACGAGCCCAATTTTTTCTTTTTAAACCGAAACGTGAGCAGTTTTATTTTTAAGCTGAACCCGAATGAAAAGTAATGCAAGTCTGCCATTGCCGACCTCCTCCTGAAAATGCCAAGTGCCCCGGCTGTCTCTGGCTTCAGTACATTGAGACCCTGAGCAGCCGGTCACACCAGACTAGTCTGCAGATCTGGAGAAGTCAGAGAACCTAATCTGTTTACTTGCTCCACATCAGTCACTTAGAAAGTATTGAAGCCATTGGAGCAGCATGACGGTCAGGGAAATAGTATCTTCAGAAAGAGGGGGGTGGGGGTCAGTAGTTCTTCCTTACATTCTAACTCGGTACTAATGGAAAAAAAAAGGAGCCCCAGCCAGTGGCTTCAGTCCTGCACAGTTCCTCTTCCCCGCCACCAGATGTCCTCAGTCTTCTGACCTGAATGACATCCATCACTGTGGACACGCTGAGAATGCAGGACATCATGGACCCGGCCCTGAGGAGTAGTCACCACAATGCCCCCCACTCAGTGTAATGGTTCCAAGAGCAGCGCTTATAACATCACTTCTATTACTGTGGACATGCTGTGAGTGCAGGACATCATATACCCGCCCCTGAGGAGTCATCACCACAATGCCCCCCACTCACAGAGTAATGATGCAGAGAGCACCACTAATAACATCACCACCACCACTGGGAAGAGATCTAAAGAGGAAAGGGAACCCGAGCATCATGTGACCTGCCGTTTGATCCTGAAACTAAAGGGGGGGTATCCGCTCCCCATCATACTTTGCATTTGTTTTCCTGTCTTGCTGCTAATACTTGTGTGTGTTCTTTCCGTCATGTCAGGTCCGGCAAAACGTATCTCCGCAGTGTGCCCACCACCTACATTTGCGTCCTGAGCCCCCCGACTGAGATCAGGTCTGTGCTCAGCCCCAACCGGCTCTAATAATTCAAAGATGAAGTTTAATCTGCTTATAGTTTACCTTCCCTGGTCCCTCCCCCCTCCCCCAGCATGCTAGTGATATTTCTATATAAAACCTTTCCGCTTTCATTACATATATTATATAGGACCCTGTGATGTCATCACTGGGTCTCTGTGCAATGCAGGCAGGTCATGGCTGGTGGGAGGAGCCGCCAGGGTGCTGTACAACAATCAGGTGTGGGAAAAGGGTTTTCAATCACCAGCCGGAGTATTGATTAGGTGTTTCTGTGTAAGGTGCTGTACGTAGCTGGTGGGAGGAGCCGCCAGGCTGCTGTACATAGCTGGTGGGAGGAGCCGCCAAGGTGCTGTACATAGCTGGTGGGAGGGGCCGGCAGGGTGCTGTACATAGCTGGTGGGAGGAGCGGGGAGGGTGCTGTACATAGCTGGTGGGAGGAGCGGCCAGGGTGCTGTACATAGCTGGTGGGAGTGGCCGGCAGGATGCTGTACATAGCTGGTGGGAGTGGCCGGCAGGATGCTGTACATAGCTGGTGGGAGGAGCAGGCAGGGTGCTGTACATAGCTGGTGGGAGTGGCCGGCAGGGTAGGGGCTGGCAGGGTGCTGTACATAGCTGGTGGGAGGGGCCGGCAGGGTGCTGTACATAGCTGGTGGGAGGAGCAGGCAGGGTGCTGTACATAGCTGGTGGGAGTGGCCGGCAGGGTGCTGTACATAGCTGGTGGGAGGAGCAGGCAGGGTGCTGTACATAGCTTCCTGAAGACATCACAGCGCCCTGCCTCAGTACTGCTCTCAGGAGTCCTCAGCCATGATGCAAGCAGTGGGCTGACCCTTGGGAGGAGTTATGCAAATATCACAATGCCTTGATGGGTGGGTGTCAGTCTGGAGGAGTGGGCCTTCCTAGGCATGTAGACCGGCCTAGGTAACACCCACGCGTGATGCTGAACCTCCACGATTGAAAGAACTGAAATCTAATGATTTGGAGGGGCGGGGCCAAGGATTGTCAGGCTGGGGAGGAAAGAGCTAGATGATTTTGGAGTCCTCCAGCCATGAAATGAGGTTGGCTCTATGTGACTTGCTGCAGCTTTGAATGCACATTGTGAAAATCTTGGTCTTTTGTTCCTGTTGTCACCTTATATCCGGTCTGTTCCTCTTCTTCCTCTCATGTTGTCGCAGTGACAGTCAGCCGGCTCCACCACTTGTGCTGTTCAGGCAGCTCTCTGGTCTCCCCTCACCCCAGCGTGCCGTGTGCTCCGTGACCTTTGTCCTCAGTGTCACCTTGTCCTGGGACTGCTCCATGTGTTGCAGCCCCTTCACCCAGGTAAGCGGAGATCTCCTCCCACACTATTCTGTGTCCCAATCAGTGCCAGGGAAATGTGCTGGTGGCCCGTTATTGATCACCTCCAATCAATGCTCCTCACAGGGCAGCGGTGCCCCGACAAGCTGTGTGATCAGCCCGCACTGACCTCTGTAGCTGCAGGTACTGCGCACTAATTCATCCTCAAAGATCCTAATAAAGATTCTGAAGTCAGTCAGGTTTTCTAACAAAAGTCTCCCAGATTCCTCCATACACACTAAACAGCTTAGAAGGGGAGACTCCTCCCCCTCCCCACCACCACTTCCTGTCCGGGCTATTGTATTCTGACAGCTGGCTCCCACCGCTATCACAACACCCAGCTGATAGGCTGAAAATTGTCAAAGAGTGACTGCAGCCAGACTCCTTCTCAGGCAGTTGAGTATGGACACACCGATGCGAGTACCGATACTTCTCCTCAAGTACTCGCCGAAGCCAATGCCTTTTTTTTTGGTTTTGTTTGGGTCATGTGACCGTTTTTATAAAACAATACAGACTTATTTAGGACACTGGTGGAGGTGCAAATGCTGCCCCCTGGTAGTTCTGTCACTGACTCCAAGCTGTAGAGGGACTACAAATCCCAGCAATCCATTATACAGCAATGCAGAATAATAGTATATGAATTTGCTACATAGTCTGTGCTGCCGCTCTGCTCCAGGGTGCCGGCCTGATGTCTCTGGGGGAGGGTCTCAGAAGGGGTGAGGAGGGTCTCGGGAAGGGTGCGGGGGGTCTGGGGAGGGGGCGCGGAAAGGTGCGGAGGGTCTCGGGAGGGGCGCGGAGCGTCTCGGGAGGGGGCGCGGAGGGTCTCGGGAGAGGTGCGGAGGGTCTCAGGAGAGGGAGCTGTGCAGGCCAGGGGAAATGCTGTACACAGGCGCCCGGTGATTCCCAAGAAGGCTGCCAGTGGTCCCCAGCACACTCGGGACCTGAGGCAGCGGAGTCAGTTTGAACAATGAATGCTCCGGGATCAGTTTTCAGTATTGGGGCATTGTCATGTGTCATGTGTCGTGTCATTGTGGGTATTGCCCGGTATCTGCCCTGATAGTGGTATCTGTGCATCCCTACAATAGGGATACTGTGTGTTGTGGATCCAGCAAGGCCGCCCACCCATTGGAAGCGCAGAGTTCAGATTGAATTTCTCCGCAATGGCGACAGCTGCAGAGACGAGTCCAATAATCCGATCATCACACAACGTTCTCAGACAGGAAATGTGATTCCATCTCCCACACGGATCATTAGTGTGATGTGTGTGGCCGTCATACATGTGGGGGGATTGTACAATCAGCTGACAGTGAGCCTGTGCTCCCCCCGTACCTGACTCCCCCCCCCATCACTCCCCAGACTGAGGTGACTGATCCCGACAATGATCTGTGATTTGCTCTCCTGCATCTGACAGCCGCCATCTTTTCTCTGCATCTCTCTCCAGGGGTCATGTATGACAGCGGGAGTTCTGGGTTGTCATCTTCATCCTTCCACTTGGGAGCCAATATCATCATCCTCTCTGCATCACACTTTGCAGTATTTCCCAATCCCATGACCTGCGTCATGTGACCCATTCATAAAATGCACGCCGTGGTAGTACACTAGGTTCTCTCATATATCGTGTATCATATCTTCCCTTGTTGCCCTTCCATGATGTCATCACTGGGCCTGTCTGGTGGGAGGAGCCGGGAGGCTTCTGTACACGTCGCAGTACCCTGCTTTGGATCCCCTTTGAAGAGCGCCATATGTCATCGCCCGCCTCTCACTGCTATCAGCTGCCTCTGCCATCAATCATTTTGTTCCTCAGCGTCATATGAAGGAACACACCCCCGGCATCCCTTGTGCGTGCCGCTCCCTGCTGGCCACTGGGTGCTGCAGACTTTAGCTGTGCGCTCTGCTGATCAGTTGCTTGAGCAGTCAGGTCTAAAGGGATGCCGGGGGTGTGTTCTTTCATATGACGCCGAGGAACAAAGCGATTGTAAGCAGAGGAAGCTGATAGCAGTGAGAGGCGGGCGATGACGGATGCAGGTTTACAGGGAATAGAGAGTATGCGTTTCCACACCCGAGAGGACTCGCTACAAGAGCGGGGGGAATAGAGTAAGGCCGGAGTTCAGCTTTAACGCAGGAGACCAGAAATGGGGCATATGTAAAAGTAAGGATAACTCGTGTGACTGATCACAGAGCTCAGGAAGCTTCAAGTGCATCGAAAACTTTTTGTATTTAGGTTTTAGATGTTTTTTTATCTGTAACACCTTTTCTGTATGGGAGGCGCTGCAGAGACAAGTTCTGGCCCGGGGGAGAGTGGCGGTGAGGAATCGCGGAAGGAGTGAACTGCCGGTAAGTTTCTCGTTTGAGGCGACTTTTATGAAATGTTTTCACCTTGCAGGATGTGTCATTCTGAGCGCGCACGCATCACCGGCACCCAGGGGCAGAAACATGTACATCAGGGATTCCACTCATGGACCCCAAATCTCATTTCAAGTGAGCCCGTGCCTTGCTCATTCATACAGGGCATCCCCATCCCCCCCCCCACCAAACCTTCACTCCCCCACCACCCTGCTCAGCCTCTGGGAGCAAAGAAAGCACCATGTGACTCGCTCTCCTTCCCCCCCGTGCGACTCGCTCTCCTTCCCCCCGTGTGACTCGCTCTCCTCCCCACCCCATGTGACTGCTCTGGGGCTTTCTGAATGGTCCAGCACTGTCACATGGTAGAGAGTTCTGAAAGCTGTGCAAGGCATGACTTACTCTGCCGCTGAACTGAGGGGCCGCTGCGAATGGTAGAAGTTAACCTCTTCCTGTTACTGGGAGCTGGCCCTTTAACACAATCTAAACCCTGGAGCAGGGGTAGGCAACCTTGGCATCCCACCTGTGATGAAACTACAAATCTCATCATGCTTCTGTCTCTGGGAGTCGTGGCTGTCCGAGCCTTGCAATGCCTCATGGGACTTGTAGTTGCAGAACAGCTAGAGAGCCCAGGTTGCCTACCCCGGCATTAGAGGCAATTCCTGGGCTTGGTGATCATGTGATCACTGTGATTTGGCTGTCACGGTGATCACATGATCAGGAGCCTATCCTGGCAGATTGCAAGCAGTGGCCGGGAGCTGACGGTGACAGCGAGGTCGCAGTGCTGGGGGTGCAGAGTGCGTGTGCACAAGACAGCAATGGCGGCTGTAAGCGATATTAAAGCCCACCGCCATGCTGCCACACATATGT